GGCGTGGGCAGAGGTGAGGTATCTCTGGAGGAGTGACACGGGCACAGGGGGCCAGCTGGAAAGATCCGCGGTTTCAGGGGAACAATGGCCGCAGCTGGGGTGGCCGAGTGAGTGAGCAGGGAGGTGAGAGGTAAGTAGCAGTGTGCAGCCACGGTTGCATACAGCCCTGACTCCATGCAGCCACCCAAGCATCGTGCGTGCATGTACCCGTCCTCCTGTGCATGCATCTACCATCCACCCACGTCCCAGCCATTCACATGTATGTCCCCAGACGGCCAGTGACCAGGTTGGTCTCACTGTGGCAACTTAGGGAGTCCAGCAGGAGCTATGGGTGGTGAAGCTCATGTTCTGCGGAGCTCATGGAAACTAAGAAACCCTCCAGGAAGGAAGGCGATTCCCCAGCATGGTGGCGAGGCTTAAGAGAGTGATGTACTGGGGGAGGAGCCAGGACTCACAGGGTGGGCAGTGTGGATGGAGGTGAGCAGGGTCATGAGAACCACTAGCCTCTGGCCTGGCAAGTCCAGTGGAATCTTCACTATTGGCTCTTGAATGATCATCTCTCCCCTGCACCCATTTAGCAGATAAGAAGACAGAGGCTTCTTGGCACAGGGGTCCTGGCTTCTACTCCTTGGGCTTCCGTAGTCTGGGAACTGAGGCCAGTGTGAGGAGGGTCTAAGGTAAAGGAAGATCCTGGGGATGAAGGATTTCCAGCTGGGAGGACCGCCCTTCATGGCAATCCCTGTGTGCTGAGGGCCTGAGAGCTCTCTGGGAACCTAAGAACGGGCTTCATGTGGGCCAATGGGCTGGTTGCGACTCTGCCGGAACTCAGGCTGGAGATCTTGTAGGTGGCTGGGCTGGGCTGGTGCTGAGCTGTACAGGGGTGGGGCATGGTGTCTTTTAGCTTTGCTGCCCTCTCTGAGCTCAGGCCTGCTCTAGGCTGGGACAGTAGCTCATCTGTGGAGCCTCTGGGCTCCCTAGCTACCGTGGTCACCTGCGGCCATCCTGACTCCACATGGCCGGGGGGACTTCTTTGGGACCTGGAGCCATTCTTACTCATCTGCCCAGAACCTCTTAGGGCTCCCCCTGCACTCAGAGAAAGCCGATGCCCGAGAGGACTCGGAGATGCATATGTACAGAGCCAGGGGCTTCCAGGAGCGTTAATGATGCTGTCCCTTCTGTGTGGAGAACCCTCAGGCATCTGGACAGTGACGGAGGATGCGAGAGCTCTGGGGCCTGTGAGGCACTGAGGACAGGTGAGCCCCCGGGGAGCAGGCCTGTGGGCTACTTCTTCTGAGTCCAGCAACCCTCACCCTGCTCCCCCATGTTGCTGGGGAGCACATGGGAGGCATAATGGACACCCATGTGCTGTCTTCCCTCTTGCTGCCCTGGGAAGACAGTGGCAATTCTACCGCGGGTGATGGCAGGCTGGGAACAGAGGCACAGAATGGGCGGTGACAGGAAAGGCTGTGCGACCATGGCTGCTCCAGCTGCCAGGTGTGGATGTGACCTTGGGTCACAGTGCCCGGGGAAGCGATGTGATGGGCATCTGCCTGGCCAGACCCCTATTTTCATGTGAAAGGCAGGCGGGACCTGAGGAGGGCTGGGGCACCATCTGCTTTGGAGTGCTTTGTGCTGTGAGCTAAGTGCGAGCCATGCATCCCACCCCAGGGAGGCACAGGCACAGAGAAGGTGGCTGGCAGGGACTCTGAGGGTGGGCTGGGGTCTCTCTCCATCTGTGTGCAGCCCCTCCCGGTGTGTGTGTGTGTGTGTGTGTGTGTGTGTGTGTGTGTGTGTGTGTCTGGGCTCAGCACATCTCAGTACCAAGAACTCTGAGGGTAAACATGGACACTGGCCCCTTGGAGATGTTGTAGACTCCTCTGTGCATGGAGAAAAGAGGCAGGGGTCCTGGCAGCCCACACTACCCACCCCCTGCCTTCCCTTTCTGTCATTTATCACCCAGCAAAGCAGGTGTTTTCCTCTTGCCCCTTGCCCGGCCCCTGCTGTGGCATGCAGATCCTGCAGAGGAGGCTTGATCCATTTTGCTGTCAGCTGTTGCAGGTGCTCTGGTTTGAGGCTGCTGCTTGTCCCAGCTGCTCACTTGTGGCTGGGGCTGGGATGCTCCGCTGTAATCCCTGCCCAAGACCTTCCTGCATTGGCAGCAGAGGGCCTGGTGAGGCCCCGCCCTGTGCACCATGGTCCTGGCAACTGGAGAGCGTGAGGGTTCTTGGGGCCTCCAGCAGACTACAAGCTCTTGCTTCCACTTTGTCACTTTGCCCTGATTCTCTCTCTGACAAGACACAAGTGATGCAGAAGTTTTCAGCCAGCCTTGGGGGAAGATGTGACCTCTCCATCCTTTGTCTGCTGTGTGCCTCTTAGAGCAGCTAGGCCAGGCTGGCTTCAGGAGACTCAGGGAGGAAGGGCTCTTGTGGTTTCTGCATCCCAGAGTGTTTCCTACTAACACATGAGCTGAGAAAGAGGAGTGCATGGGGTACCCTGTTTCTCTCGCTGTCTCTCCCTCAGGAGCCTGGCAGGTCTTTTCTGGGGCTGGCCAGGCCTAACGTGGACTCAAGGTCACAGTGGGTGCAATGTTCTCTCTCTCTCTCTCTCTCTCTCTCTCTCTCTCTCTCTCTCTCTCTCTCTCTCTCTCTCTCTCTCTCTCTCTCCCTCTCTGTCTCGCTCTCTAAGTACATAGCTTCTCTTTCTTAGTAGTTGTTGTTATGTATATATATATGTGTGTGTGTGTGTATAATGTATATATTTATTTCTATATACACAAATGCAACCTGCTCAGTCTGTGTAATGTGACTTGTATGCATGCTTTTAGGACTGACCATTTGGTGTGCTCTTCCTTGGGGAAGACTATTTCTCCCACTCTCTGCATTCCCTAATTTCCTGTAGTTTTTTTTCTGTAGAGTTGAGGCCTTTCCCCTGTAGGATGTCTATTGGTGTCACCCTTGTTCGGGTGATACTTAGGCAGTCATGTTGGTGAGACTTTATGGGTGTATCTTCTCTAACATTTCTAGGAGAGACAGTCTCCCAGCAAACTCCCTGTTCCTCTGGCTCTTACATTCTTCTCCCTCCCACTTCCACAGTGTTCAGAGTCTAAGGTGCAGGTGTTATGTTGTAGATATATCAGTTGGGACTGGCTTCACAACTCTGCATTTTAATTGCCATGTTTCTGTAATGCTCTCCATCTGTTGAAGACAGAAATTCCCTTGATGAGGGATGAGGACTGCACCTATCCATGGATGTTTTAGTTACTTTTCTGTTGCTGTGAAGAGACACCATAACCAAGTCAACGTAAAAAGAAAACATTTTGGGGCCTCACAGTTCTAGAGGGCTGGAGTCCATGACCATCACGGCAGGGGGCATGGCAGCAGACAGGCAGACTTGGTGCTGGGGAAGGAGCTGAGAACTTACTATTGATCCACAGGTCTACCAGCTGGGAACCAAGCATTAAAATATGTGAGCCTATAGGGGCCATTCATACCACCACGGTGGGTACAATGACAGATACTTGGGATGTAGTTAGTGATTATGCTGGTTTAGTGGTGGCTGTAGGTTCTCCTCCTGGATCCAAGGCTTCACTGGCCCTGGGTAGTTGTCTAGGTTTCCAGTACCAAGCATGGTTTTCCTCTTGCTGAGTAGCTCTTAAGTTCGACTAGAGGGCTGTTGGTTACCAGCAAGGTGTGCACGCCCCTACTGCAGCCTTTGGGCTGATTGTTGTTGTAGCTCATAGACATCACAGCTGCGTGAAACTGTTTACTTCTCCTCTGGAAGCTTGCATGGCATCTTCTGGTACCGTGAAAGCTAGTCCTTAGGGAGGAGGCTTTCAGTGCAGATCCGGCTCCGGTCCTCTGGGCCCTGCGTCTGAAGTAGATGATGTCTTCAGCAATAGGGACTTACCTTTCTCCCCTCGGAGGCAGCCAAGGGCAATATCAGTAGCCTATGTTTAGGGAGTCTCTTGGATAACCCCGACTAACAACTTAAAGGAGGGCTTCTTATGCCTGGTGTTAGGGGTTTTGTCAGCCTACGGCTCTTGTGGGGAGCCTTGTCAGCCCATAATGCAGCTTTCACAGAGAGCTGCTCCACACGCAGACACACAGCTACTCTGAGCTGGTGTCTGTTCAGGGCAGATGTGGGAGGTCCCTTGTTGCTTATGCTCCCTGGATAGCCAGGCGTGGCTTCCCCAGTTTTATTCCAAGCCCGGCATACCGCACATCCCCTACCACCAGATCAGAGCCATTGTCACCTCTTGTGAGCCACTACAGCCACCTCAGGGGTGAGGCTGTGTTTCTGTCCCTATGGTAAAGGACTCTGAACACGAGAGTTGGGCCTTGTCTCCTTGCTGTCTACTGCCACCCTGTCACTGAGGTGATGCCATCGTCCTGACTGTAGCTTGAGCCACACATCTGCTTTGTTTGTCTGTGCCTGCCTTGCTCTGTGACTGGCGGCATTGCTTGAGTGACCCACACCACAGCCTCCTTGCTTCTGGCTCTGTGAACCCAGTGGAGATACCTGAAGAAGGTCATAGGTATGGTTGGGGTGCCAGCTCATATGTCTCCTTCCTTTTGGGGTCACCATGCTCTGGCCTTTCTGCCTTCCTGCCATGTGAACTTTTCCTGGGGAGACACAAACAAATGTCCACTCATACCGTATAGCCAACCAAAGTAACGGTTGAGCCAAAATCCAACTCTGTGAACCAATGCATTTGCTGGACTTACTTACATAAGTGTCGATTGATGAGAGGTTATGGGAGTCAGGGGTTACACCAAAACAGCACAGAACCCAAAAGTCTCACCCCAGTCTGGATGCAGCTTTGCCATAATGCCATAGATGAAGTCTCCTCCTAACTGTCCATACTGTCTGTACTACACCATCTCGGAGACCACGAGAGTATGGGCTTCTGGGGGCAGGGAAGTGCGGGCAAGTCCAGGAGGGCGAGGGTAGAATCTCAGGTGAGGGTGGGATGGCCCTCTGGAACCTTCCTTTGTTGGCAGGCCTGCATCTTGAGGGCCTTCTGTGCACGGTCCTAGCACCTCTGATGAAGATGGTGATGACTTCCATGCTCCTTCACCAACTCCTCCCCTGTGGGCTCCTCCCACCTCAAGGCAGATGGTGTAGCCAAGAAAGACCAAGGCAGCAGAAGGCAGGTTGGGGTAAGAGAACCAGTGTATGGGCAGATGGACCTAGGGGAGGGGCCAGGTTGGTGGCTGCCATTCTGAGGAGGTGGTTGAAATGTCTGAGTGTAACTGGGCAATTAGTTATGTCCTTCATAACTAAGTCAGAACCCTCCCTGCTTTCCTGCTGACAGCTCAACACCACCTGGTTGGTTTCCTCCGCCAGAATCGTAAAGCCATCGTTCCAGTGCACACCACCTAGCTTGCTCGGCGTCTGCCTGACACACGAGCCGCTGAACCCTAAGGCTGGGACACAGAGCTGAAGAGTGTCCCAGTAAATACTGACTGACTGAATCAATGATGAGCATGCAGCATGCCACACGCTGTCTGCTCCCTCATGCCTGAATACACTTGCACCTGGGCCTTGCAGGAAGTGGGACTCCTCCTACTGCACGGGTCCTGCTGGCAGTGGGGAGGGGTTTGATTCAAAGGTGTCTGTTGACTGCCAGCTGTCTCTTGCAGAATCAGAACCTATTGCTGGTCTAGAGAAGTCTTCCTCCCCTCCTACCCCTTCTCCTCCCCCCCTCTCCCCTCCCTGCCCTTTGCAGAGGCCTTGACTTTGTCTCAGAGCCTCCGTCCTCATCTCTTCACCGTACCTAAGTCTGTGGAGACACAGTGAAGCGCCTTTGGAGCGGAGCCTGCCCTCCAGGGCTTCTCTGGAGGCTCCACCCCCCCCCCCCCTGCCTCCGCCATGGAGGACTCTTTGTCCTCAAAGGTCCCATCTCATCTGGTTCCTCTGGGTCACTGGGACTCTATTGGGTGCAGCCTCCCTAGGCTAGCAATAGGCTGCTCACACCCCTATGGGCTAGGGTGCCTTTTGGGGCTCCCTTCCCAAGAACTTGGTGTCAGACAGTCATAGACAGAACACACTATGTCACCACATGCCGTAAAAGCAAAGATAGAACTTTAAAGCTCTGTAAATATTTAAAAGTAATGAAATTAAACTCTGATGCTCCTAGGATGATAGTAAATCCCAGGGTGCCCAGTGATGAGGGCCCTCCATCCAACACAGTAAAAACGCACACATTGGACATTAGAAATGCTCTGCCCAGCCCGTGAATCGGAAATAAAACTAACACACACTGTGGGAGGCATCAAACATTCTGTTAGGTCTAGCTCTGTTGGTTTCAGGATTTAGGGGTTCTGTCTTGTAATATTTGGATGGGGTGAGGGGAGGATGTTGTCCCATGCTGTGATCTGGAGCTGACAGAAGGGTGTGTGAGGCTTGTGAGTTGAGGGTTCTTCTGTTCTTCATCTTGGAAGTTTAATTTCAAAAACAGCCTGGGACTGGAGAGAGGGGAGGGGAACAGGAGGGAGGGAAGGGAAAGAGCAGTGAACAAACCCAATGGAGAGGTTTCTTCTCCCCTGTGAGAGTTCCAGCCACACTCCAACCGACTCATGGCAGGCTGCTCTAAGCCATGGATTAGGCCACCCACCCACTCACACAGGTGAGCTTGGTCTTTCCCTTATCTCTGTCCAATAATGGGAAGGGGTTCTGGGTAACAGAAGCTGAGGGTCTCATACCGGAGACAGAAGGAATGCTGGGGTAATTAGAGGAGGCTGAGAGACAGGCATGGGGAGGGGTAAGCTCTAGGGGGCCTGCATCAGAGACTGCTGTATAGGTGGTCTTGACATTCACTCACAGAAAGAACCCAGTAAAAGCTGACTAGGTGAATAAATGAGGAAACCAACAAATGGACCAATGACTGGGATCTGTATGGTGGTTTGAATGAAAATGGTCCCCATAGGCCCATGGCATTATTAAGTGATGGGAGATGTTATTCTGTATGTATTTCTCTTGTTGGTTGATGAATAAAACACTGTTGGGCCAATGGCCAATGACGCAGGAAGATAGGCGGGACTAGGAGAGGAGAAGTCTGGTAGAGGGAGGCAAGAAAGCCCACCAGAACACTCATGATGTATCAGGCAAAGGAGTTGCAGGTCCTGTATTCTCCAGTAAGCCAAGACGTGGCTGTGGGATCAGGCTGGCGGGAAGAGTGCTAGTAACAACTAGGAGGTGTGGCCTTGTTGGAGGAAGTGTGTCACTGGGGGCAGGCTTTGAGGTTTCAGAAACTCAAGCCAGGCCAGTGTCATTCTTTCTTCCTGCTGCCTGCTTTTCTGGATGTAGAACTCTTGGCTCCCTCTCCAGCATCATGTCTGCCTGTGTGCCGCTATGCTTCCTGTCATGTGAGAGTGGACTAAACCTCAGAATTGTAAGCAAGACCCAATTAAATGTTTCCCTTTATAAGAGTTGCTGTGGTCATGGTGTCTCTTCTTCACAACAATAGAAACCCCAACCAGTCTGGAGGGGGCCTTGAAACTGTCAGGAAAGCACAGACCTCCCCCCTCCGAGCTCTCCTCCAGAGCTCAGGGGTCCCTCTGCCTGGGTTCTGCTCTTTCCCTCCTCACTGACCCTAAAGTTGGGCGTCCCGGGTTCTGTCTCCCAACCTCTCTGCCCCCTTGATCTTGTGGGCTCTTTGCCTACAGCCTCATTTCTTGCCCTGAAATTGTTCTTAAAGTCTGTTCCTGGGTTTCTAAAATCTCAGCCTGGGATCCCATTAATTTCACACTTAGTGTATACTGAATGCTTTGCAAAGTAGCTTATTGAAACTCTATTGCAACCTAGACAAGATTCAAGTTGCACAGCGAAGTTCTGGAACCAAGCTGAGACTGGGGACAGAGGACCATGTCCTGCACTGTCTTGCAGTCCTCTGCCCAGAAGCACAGATCTAAGACCCTGCTATGCTTTAAGGCCTTAGGTTGAGGTGACCAACCTCATGATGTTTCCTCTCCCCGTGATGGCTAGAATCAAAGCCCCGGGAGCTTCCTGGCTGTGTTCCTTTGTCCCAAGCTGGTGCCTACTCCCTCTTTGTCCACTTCCACAGGCTCCTGTAGCTGTGCTGGTGGAAACAGTTCTAACCTTACAGAGGGCACAGGTCTTTGTGCTCACAGATAAGCACCAGGGAAACCAGGAATGTTAAGCGTGCAGGCTTGTCTCTCAGAACCCATCTTCAGGGCGTAGGTTACATGTACTTTGCAAAAGAGTTCCGATGTACTCACACCTCAAGCTTTATAAATGTGCACATGGGATTGAAATAACTATTACCAGGAAACTCTTTCCCACAATTGTACTGTACTTAAATATGTCTAAAACAAACCACCTGGGGTCAGACTCTAGAAGTGTGAACCAACACCTGCTGACTAAGGTCGTGTTGAACTGGACTTCCCTCCTGCCTCGCTGGGAATGTTTCTCTGCTGGCTGTAGGCAGCATTTGCAAGGTCTCCCACGTATCCAGGCCATTTCATCTCTGGGTTTCAAAACAACTGCTATATTTTTCTGGATTCCTGAAAGTGCCACAAGCCCCCACAACTGTTTCTACTGTATGTTGTGGACCATGTGACCTACAGTCCTGTAGCTTTCTGCAGTAGGGGTTTGCAGTCTGGCATGGTTCTGGGCACACTAGGATAAAGTCATTCCTATGCCAGAGCTGTGTGACCTTGGGGAAAACTGGAAATCTCTCTGTTCTTCCGGTCTGTCATCTGCATAGTGGAACTTGACCTGGTAGGGGAGCCTGGGAATTCCAGGGATTCCCTCGTCTTAGTCACTTTTCCACTGCCAAGGCAGCTATTAGAAGAAAGAGTTTATTGGGAACTTATAGTTCCGGAGATTTAGAGTCCATGACCATCATGGAGGGCACATGGCAGCCTGAAGACAAGCGTGACACTGGAGCAGTAGCCGAGAGCTCACATTTGCTCCACAAGCAGGAGGCAGAGAGAAAGCTAACTGGAATGCAGTGGACTTTTGAAACCTCAAAGCCTCTTCCCAGCAAGGCCATACCTCCTAATCCTTCCCAAACAGTTCTACCAACTGGACCAAGCGTTCAAACATAAGAGTGTATGGGAGTCATTTTCATTCAGAGCATCGCAGACTTGCAAATATAACTGGCTGGCTCAGGAGTCATCAGTTCAGAAGGCTGCAGCGTGGTCTGGTTGTACAGCTGTCCACCTCTGCCCTCAAGGCCCCAGGCTCTGCAGGATCCCCCGACAGAGACTCTGTGTTGCGTGTCCATCAATCCTTCAGATGATGAGCGCCTGCTCTGAGATTAAAGCATATTGATTAGATGCCAGGCCCATGCAAGGCATCTTCACACAGTGCTTTAAAATTCCGCTCTCCCAGGCTTGGGAAGCGGACTGCACTTTACACATGAGCCCTACCAGTGGGGTGAGCCTGCTCCCTACTGTGACCTGTGTTTCTGCAACTTCACACCAGATTCCTCCGAGGCAGACCCTGATGGGGGCACAGGGTCTCTCCCACCTGGTGAATATTTATGGAGGGCTGTGTGCCAAGCCGTCTCCAGGTATGCCAATGAAAGACACAGAGAAAAAAATCACCATGGGCTTAGAGTCTAATGAGGAGGAGGGAGGGGACAAGAGAGGAGAGGAAACGGAGGGAGGGGAGGGAAGAGGAGGAAGGAAAGGAGGAAGAGAGGGAGAGAGAAACAGACTTAATTGAGAAGCAGAGGGGGCCCTAATGGCACCCCAGCTCCTTGCTTCTTTCCCCCCAGGGCCTCAATTCCTCAATCTCTTTCCCGCCACTGTCGGTCCCTGGAGGCGGCTCCGAGCTGGCTTTGCTAATTGATATAGATGACCTGCCTCTCACTGTCGCATCGGCTTGGCACACTTTCATATTAATTGGGCTGGAGGACGAAAATTAAGTGGTTTAGTTTGCCATCATTCAAGTTGAGAAATGTGGGAGTGGGGCAGAGAGAGAGAGAGAGAGAGAGAGAGAGAGAGAGAGAGAGAGAGAGAGAGGAGGGGGCGGGGGCGAGCAGTAGAGCCCCTTAGGGGAGGGCACAGAGGCTTCCTGGTGAGGGGACCAGACTCCTGGGGCAGCCCAGCAGCTCTTTCTGTGCACATGGGTTTATGCCCATCTGCTGGGGCTCAGTCCAGATCTTGGCTGCCCCTGTGGGCATCTCTCCCTGACCCCCACTCAGGCATAGGCACGGCTCCTTGATCCTGACACGCATGAAGTCACAAGGACTGGAAAGTCAACCTCAGAGTCTGAAACCTCAGTGGTGATGCTACCCACAACAGGCTGCACCCGGGACCCAGGCAGCTTCTCTCAGCCTGGCAGCTGCTCTCTCTCCTTCCCTGCTGGAGAGGGCCCCTGCCAGAGCTGCCACCCCGGCCTCTTCCTGGTATTGCTGCACTGTGGCTATCAGGGTTCACCTGATTGGACCCACCTGCTGATGTGTGTTCCTCAAACACCGGTGGGGGGTAGGTGGGATTTCCTCAGGGACGGGGCTGCCCCTTGGGGCCTTAGAACAAGAAGTGTAGCTGCATACTATGATGGAAGCCCCTGGCTGGGACTCAGCTCTAGTGTGGAGCCCAACTGGCTTACTGTCGCCTACTCAACAACATATGTGGAGGGCGAGGCTCCCCAAGTATTACCAGAAAGGGAGAGAAGGTGTGGGTCCCCTGTACATTAGAAAAGGCTCACTGGGTACAGAGCGGATAGTGGCCCAGCTCCGTGTCCTCTGACAGTCAGGTTCTAGCCTGGGAGGGTAGACAGAATTTCCTTTTCAATGACTGTGACAAAACAACCCCTGACAGAAGCAACTTCAGAGAAACAGGACTTATTTTGCCTCATGGAGACTCAGTCTTTCATGGTGCAGAGGACACAGCATCCACAAAGAGACTGTGCTTTCCATGGCTCTCCCTGACTGGCCACCCAGATGACCAGGGGCGAGCTCAGCTGGGTTGGTCGGCTTGCTCTGACGTGACAGGAAGTGGGTTTTTATAGATGAGTGGAGAGGGAGGTGTACTAGTCTGCATAATTCAAGCTCAGCTGTAAGGCCTTTAGGCTCAGCTGGTTTCGGGGTGCCAACCGCTGAACTGCTGTTGTCTCCACTTCCTGGCTCCTCCTCATGCAGTCAGTTGGTCTACATGGGGTGGCCAAGATGAGTACCAGTGTGGCTCAACTCATCTGGCCCTTGGTTTCCCAAACCAAGCACCTGTCTCAGCTAGAACTGCCTAAGAATCACGTGAGAAGGGCCCAGAAGAAAGCCCAGCACCTAGTAGTACTGA